TGTGTAGCTTTGTGCATAATTAAAAAAAAAAGAAAAGAAATTCAGATCCCTCCTGCCACACACTCTGATTCACAGTTTGCTAATATATGTTTATGGCGTTGATTTTCACTAAATTTATAACCAATAGAAAGCCTAGATTTTAACTGATCGATTGCCATATTCTTTTTACCAGTTCGTTATAAAAAATAATTGATATTTTGGATTCATGAGTGTTACGTATTAGAATTTCAAATGGTCTGAAACAGAGTTACTTGATAATTTAAATTTAGTAGTTAAATTGTACTTTGGATTTAGCAGTTAAGTAAAAGCCGATATGTAGTCAGTTCATGCTATTTGCCAACTAGATTGATACACACATTTTGTTAAATACAAATACGTTTTAATATACACACACAACAATACAAATTACAATAACAGTAATTACAAATAGTTATTACAAACAATGATTTATAAACAAAAGTTTCACAAACTTACAAGCAATATAAAGTCTTCTTTCTAATCTGGAACTTCTTCAATATCTTATCGAGGGTTCACGATGAACGAGTTGACATAAGTATAATTCACTTAACGGGAAGCTAGATAGCTTTGTCCTCCATTATTTATCAGCCACACACACACCAGGTTTTCCACAGTGATGTTATGTAATGTTTTTTTTGTAAAAATACTAATGTCCGATGATAATCCACTGATGTTAAATGAGTTGTAATATTCGGAGTTTGTAAATGCTCCTGGTCAAACATATGAAGTTTTCCGATTGATAAGCGTTATAACAAGCACAGTTATAGCTTCCAAAGTCAGCATACTATTAATGCCCCCCAGTGGCACAGCGGGATGTCTGCGGACTTACAACGTTAGAAACCAGGTTTCGATACCAGTGGTGGGCAGAGCACAGATAGCCCATTGTGTAGCTTTGTGCTTAACTACAAACAAATCAGCTCCAATTTCTGATGCCATAGTGGCAGCACTATACCCACGGTCTCTCACTAATTGTAGGGAGATTAATTTGTGTTGCAAACAATAATTTTAACATTTTGATTTAGATGTTTTTAATGAGAGAGAGCTTGTCATCACGTTATTAATTGTGTAACATCTAGAAGTTTCGGGGAGTAAATAGAGAACGAGTAACGATATATAAATGCCTGAGTTAGTTAAGTAATGATTTACTGAGTGATTTCATTTATTCAGTTAGTGAGTTAGATAGAATGGGTTCATCTGTGATTCAGTTGGTAATCTAAACAGTGAATTAATCATCATATTTGTTATATTGTTTAGTGAGAAAATTCTGCAAGTAACTTTATATGTGAGTTCGGCTTATTAGTGTCAGAGTTTCTGTTGAAAACCATATTTGTGAAGATAGGCCTATTATTATTAGAGAACTTATCGCGTAGCAAACGTTATTGATGAAATAAATCAATTCGTGACCGTCAAGTGGCTGAGCCTGGAATTATGTTTACCAAAGAATCTAAAATGATAGAGCACATTAGAACAATACCTTTAATTACCTATGACTTGATTTTGTGATGGTATTAATTAAATTATTTTTTTAAGGATAGATGAGTGTTTAATTTAGTTGTGTATTTATTCATATTGTTTGAATAAAGTTACAGAAATGATACGTCGTGTCAGTTGAAGTAGTGACATGTTGTATACATCTTTCTAAACGTGTTCAATCAACGTTGTGGACATTGGCGCAATCAATGTTGTAATCGGTGAAATAGGACTACAGATACTCAGCTTGGAAAATACTTTTTTAAAGGTCAATGTTTTGCAAGATATCCTTTGTCATTCACTTAATTTGTTGTATAAAGAATAAATATACTTTAAAGACATTTTCAGCGTTATCAGTATTAAAATAAAGAAACCATTACATGTTATTGTTGTTGCTTACAATATGTAAACAAATTTCTTTTTAAATAAGAATAACAACCAGATAAAAAGATTTCACAAAGTACACGCCCTCTTAAAATCAGAGTTATTCATTTTTTGATATTTGAACATTTTTGGGGATTACAAGTATCATTATGGTGCCTCACTCAGTCACGAGATCGGTAACCTTGTATTCAAAACTCTCATAACCAGGATTGTCATTACAGATTAACAGAGGCCCAATCTTCAGGGGTTTTGTTTTGTTGTTCTTACAGTAGATTCTCTGATTACGAAAATACAATAATACCATAGATAAGAAGCAACAACAGTTATCTCGCAGCTGTAAACTGCTGATCTGCCATGAAGATACGAACAATAACTGATAACAAATATATACGATCTTGGATAATTATTTGTATTTCATCTCGAATTGCGTAAACTCACGTGACAACATAATCTCGGTTTTGGATTATGACTCCAAAATATATTCCTAAAAAAAAGTATATATAACTGCGCCCAAACGTTCTTCAGAAAAAAATACTTTTAGTACGTCTACTAATAAGGTAAGTAAAATATTGAAAACTTCAAGCTTCCTTAGGTAATATAGAAAATTCTAAGCCTAGTTTTTTACTGTATAATAATGGTTTAATCATCTGACCGAAAGTTAAGTCTGATTTTTACCACACCACCAGGTGATTGAAAATTGAGCATTATTTTTACCGTTCCACACTATATAATCACTTAATTGAAAGTTAAGCTTGTATTGTACCAGACGGTCTATAACCACTGACTATTGTTGAGCTCGGTTTCACCGTATCACATGGTATAAGCTAAGCTTTGTTTTATCACATTACACGGTTCAGTCATCTGACAAAAAATTAAGACTGATTTTTACTGTACCATTCGGTTTAATCATTTGACTAAAAATTAAACCTGACTTTTATTGAAACACACATAGACTAATTTTCTAGACGCTACGATAATAAAATAAATTTCTGTACTAAAACTAAGTAAAATGTACTTTCCTAACTAAAACTGAAATAATAAAGGCTTAATTTCTTAATTAAGACAGAGTCAATAAATACTAACATCTTAAGTAAAACTAAGTTAGTAAAAGCTACTTTCTCATCTAAAATGAAGTCAGTAAAAACTGAGTCATTAAAGGATACTTTCTTTACTTTAATTGGGTCAGTAAATATTTTCATAACTAAAATTGAGTCAGCATAAGCTCTTTTTTTAAACTAAAAATGGAGTCGGTATTGGAATTTGTTATCCTTTGTCTACAATAACAAGCTATTTTACAAGAAAATATACGCATGATTTAAATTATAAGTTCTATAAACTATGAAACTGATTCAGTCCTGTTTGTTAATACTTTTATTGTCAGTTTTTGTTATATGAATTAATATTTATCCTAGATAAACAATTATGTTCGAGGACAAACCTTACGGGCCTGTTGAAGATGACGTGCTTGAAGCTGTTCGGAAATATAAACCTAGGCCAGACGATATTTTCATTGTCACCTTTGCCCGCTGTGGGACTACGTGGATGCAACATATAGTACACCTTATCCTGCACAAAGGGGAGCCTTTTGAAAGCTTCTTAGAATTCAATCGTGCATCACCTTTCCTTGAAATGACGGGTCTGGAAGCCGTGGAGAATATGCCCCGACCCGGGGCCATAAAAACTCATCTCCCGTTCACCGTTCTTCCTTTTAACCAAGAAGCGAAATATATCTATATAGCACGTAACCCTAAAGATTGCTGCGTTTCTAACTTCTACCACATGACAACTATGAGATTTTCACCGATGAAAGATATCAAATTCGAAGATTTTTCTGAATCTTTCCTGCAAAGAGAGATTTATTCTAAGCACCTTCTCTCGTGGTATAAGCATCGTGATGACCCCAATATCCTTTTCCTGACCTTCGAAGAGATGAAGCCGGATACACGTGGTATTATTTTAAAAGTTGCCAAGTTTCTTGGATCACAGTACTACGACATGTTAAGATTAGATGAAGAAATCATGAACAAAATAATATTTCACAGCAGTTTCGATGAGATGAAGAAGTTGAACAAACAGATGGATGTGTTTGCGGAAAAAGATCCAGAAGAAATCAAGAAAGACCCATCAATGCCAGACTACCTCAAGAAAATGTTCCTCAATAGGCCTAAGCCAATGCAAGGAGAAACGAAAACACCAATTTCTTTTGTAAGGAAAGGGATTATTGGAAATTGGAAAGACCATTTCACTCACGATCAAGCTCGCCATTTTGACGAAAAGTTTGCCGAAAGCGTGAAAGACACGGATATTATGAAAATTTGGAAAGACCTTTAGTCTTTTCCCAAGAAAGTAACAAGTTGTAATTATTGTTTTAGTTTTTTTTATTAACGAACTGCAAATCATATAATATAGAAAAACAATGACTTATTTTATATAAGAACGACTAAAATCTAATATTTGTTTTTTGTTTGAAGACCGTCGACCAGTTATCACTTACGAGAAATTAGAACTAATAAGATAAACTGGGCCTAATGAAAAATTAGGATTATAATTTCATGCGTTTATTGTTTCTTGAAAATTATATTTCATGTGATCTTAGTTGTACAGTGATCGTGTTTAGATTTTATGTATTTATCAGTAGACATTTTAAGAAAAAGCAACAACAACGTCATAACTTTGGTTCTTCAAATTTATTTCTGGTTTTCGAGTATTCATATGAAATACATATTTTGTTCAAAAAATGACATACTTGGTTGTTTTTTAACATACATTTTTAGATCTGGCGAAGAAAAATCACGAGATAGATTCAAGGATCTTTTTGAGTATAATGACAAACAAACAAAAATCACTTACGCACACACACAGTGTTTTATTATTAACGTATGAATTTGGACCAATGATTAGTTAGTGTAATAAATTGTGGAACGTTTTTCTCAAACTTAACGCATTTCATTAACAAGAGCGGGCTTTTGCCTGTTATTGGCGAGCCTGGACTGTGAATGAAAATTATTGTTATGAAATATAAATTATGCTAAAGCAGATAATATTTTTGCAAAGGCCATTGGTAAACTCAACACAAAATGATTCAAGACAGTCAACATGCAGAAATATTACGAACATAACTGAAAACTTTTGATTTTTTAGACGTCTTTTTCTATTGTTTGTCTAAATGCTTCGAATTAAGTCATTCTTTACAGAACAAAGTTTCTCCGTAAAAAATTTTGATAGTTTATTGTGGATAACAGATACAACACTGTCTACAAATTCTTCTACCAGGATAGCTCCAAAATCGTCTAAAATATAACGATTTGCAGGTTGATCAACAACATTTGTTGGAATTTCAATTCCTTGTTTATCATTATAATCCTGAACACTTCTTTCAAATATTCTGTTATAATCCTCAACAGAATTAAGCAAAACATGCTTGTAGTTGACTTGGTCGTCAAAACAGTTTCGAAGTGCATCCAAACATGTATCTTTCAGAAAGTTCACACGATCTGCTTCTGGTTGACAACGACAAATATCAAGAAACATAACCACACAATTAATGTTAATTGTCAAGTCAATAGCTTCACTAGACATTGAAGCTATACATCTGATAAATTTTAACATTTCTTGCTTCGAATCTTCCCAGATGAAAGGACCAGATATAGTAGATTCATGCAACAATCTGTTCAATTCTCGACTTTGATAAACATTGTTATAGATTCCTATGCAAACAATGTCTGTCAGGTGTTGTCTAAAGAAATCTAAGAGGCGAACACTAATTTGTTCTGATATTCTATTTTTCGAATAAATATCTAGAAGAGGTGTGATTAACTTTTTTGATGCAGCTTCTAAAATCCGTTTTAAATTGTCATTTCTTTTGGTATCTGACATGCTGTTCCCCTTAAAGAGTGAAAACGTGGACATACCGACGGAAGTAGCAATTTTCCATCCTTTACTTTTGGTCCACTCACGAATATCTGTCTTAACTCCAGTGTTTATGTTGCTTAGAACTTGAGCAATATCCGAAATTCCATCTATAGCTAGTTCTGTAGCTTTTCTCCCATATGTGCCTTGTGATGCATATAGATAACCAATACCAACAGCAACCTGAGTCAAACCTGTCAGTAGCACGATTCCACATTCCCACGAAAACGTGATCTTCTTTTCCACAGAAAACACGCTAAGAAGACCCATATGTAAAAGTTCCAGTAGAGCATGCGACGTTTTTTTGTCTCTCATCGGATCAAGAAAGAAAACACTTTGGATCAATACAGCTGGTTTCAGTGCGGAATCATTTTTGATCTTATCCAGCGATTTTATATTTTCGCGTATATTTTTAATAAAATAGTTGATGACTTGGCATCTCACAAAAATTTGTGCTGTTAGGTCACTTTGAGCATCATTACCGCCATTTGTTTTACAGAAGAAAGAAAGTAAATTGTAGGTCACTTCAACTTCAGTCTGGTATTTCTTGAGCGTCTTCAATGCCATTTCAAGATCTCCTTTTGACTTTTCAATGTAGTCTGCCCTTTCCAGTTTGATATATGCATGTGCACGGTTGTAATAAGCAACTGTTGCCCAATCAGGTTCTTCATTAATGGCATCTGTGTAAAATTGAACAGCACTCTCAAGTTCAAGTTTTTGAAGGCTCTCATTTCCATGTCTTATAGTATGATATATATTTTCTACATGGAACTTTCCCGACTCAAGACTTTGTTTCATTCCTGCTATTTTGGTTTCCAAGTCTGCTATCAGACTATTTCGTTTCAGGTTTTGCACATTCACTTCATTTGCCAGAAGCCATAAAGCCCACTTTTCGTTGAAACTAGAAACCATTACTTCCTTGATTTCATCTGTTTTAATATGTTTACACAATTCATGGAGTGCTTTACAGTGAAGTGCAAAAAGTTCTTCTTTTAGCTGAACTTCCCTCATTTCTGTTTGTTTTGTTACTTGCAAACGTTTTCTTTCTAACTCACTCCTCTTTCTCTTTAGTAGATTTATGTCACGAAACTGCATCAAAGATGAGGGCAAACTTTCGAGGTTTACTATGAGCTGCACTGAACCTGGCTGTCCTTTTCGACAAGTTCTACCAAATGCTTGTCTTTCTACTCGCTTGTTTGTGGGCAGATATGCAACAAGAACAAACAAGCCACCATTTTTATTTACCTCAGGTGTAACTCTTATATCTGCTCCTCGACCTGCAAGATTTGTTGCAACGAGTACTTCTCCAATGTTCAATTCTTTGATAACAGATTCTTTGTCCAAATCATCAGCTTTGATGTATGATCGAATACTTCCTGTAACATTTAATTTGATTGCATTGTAGAGTTTGTTGGCTGTGACTATATCCTCAGAAACAACAAGGGAAGCTCGGCGGAACCTTCCAAGAGTATCTGGAGATAGTTCATTCTTTAACACTTCACAAATACCATTTATCCATGCATCTGTAGTACTGAAGACCTTCCCTTCTAGCTCAAACAGTTTTGGAGGCTTGTTTGTGGGAATCTGGAAATAATCAACTCCATATTGCTCTTCAAGAAATTGCTTGTCATCCTTGGTACCGAGCGTACCTGTGACACCAAAGATAGTGTTTTTGTATCTTTGAACAAATGTGATATTGGACATGAAATTGGTTACTTCAGCCATGGGCGACAGTCTTAACCCATGTTTAATTTCCAATAGTTGTTGTAATCCATCACCCCAGTGTTTGTTTTTCTCAATAACACCTGTGGATCTATAATCTACAGGAAACACTCTTCCTTCTTGGAGGACATATTCTCGGTCTTCAGTCATCTGCAATGCTAAGAAACCATTCTTGATCCAGAAAGAAAGACGATCACGTACAATTGTTTCAAAATGTTTTGGCAAGTCTAATATATATGAACTAGACTCTCGACCATACTCCAGATGATTCTCTATTTTATGTTTTACAATCTGTGATAGTTGTTCTTCTGATTTGTACAACACCTGGCAGAGTCCATCTTCCAAAACAAGAACACAGATGATAACTCTCTTAGGATGAATTGGAGTAGTATCCAAACGTTTAATTTGTCCATTATCCTGACGAGTAAAAATAGCAAAACTGTAATGAAATTTTTGTTCGAGACAGTGTAAAAATCTTATTATATCGCTTATTTTCAAACTATTAAGCCAGTTTTCTATTTCAGAATTCTCTCCTCCCTTCTGAATGGCCAAAAGTCCTTGATTAAGAAAATCTATTTCGTTAACAATCTCCATGAGAGTAACAGGTGTGTCAATATTATCTAAATCTATACAGTTGTACACAGCAACATAAAATGGTTGAGGCTCACTTATTAGGAAACTTTCTCCTTCATCTGTAACTATTTCAGAATATTGACTGACTAAACTCCACACAATTGCAAGAATGGGTTCAAAATGGCGTGAACCTGGAGTCATCTGAGTCAAGTATGTAAGCTGAACTCCATTGTCAACCAGCATGAAATCAACCTCATCAGCAATGAGCACGTCAAACTTTCTCTGTCCTCGCACTTCCTTCAGTTCAAATTCTTGGCGCAATATATCAGCAGCAAATGTTGAGGCAGTGCCATATACAACATTACATTTATAAGCTTCCATTCTTGGTGTGTTGTTCATGCCCTCTATATTGTGATTAGAAGTCAGGTCGAGTAAATCGTAGAAAGCGTGCCATTCTTCAGAATCACGTTGTGCAAGAACTGGAGAACTGGTTACTATGTCGACAGTTTCACCTCTTAGAGCAAGGTATGCTGCAAACATGGCAACAATACATGACTTTCCCTCACCTGTTGAAACTTGTAATAAACATCCTGTTTTAGTGAGAGCCATTAAAGTCAAAGATACTATTTGATTGGGAGCTGGATAAAAACCTTGTGATTCAAATACAGCATGATATAACTTCAATAGTATGCTGGAGAGAGTTTCATTCTCTGCTTCTGTGTTACTTTTAATACAATGCTGTGGGTTCGCTTGTTCGTTATCCACATTTTCACTTTCCGTGACGAGTTTGTAAACAAATGTTGCAATGATGTCATCAATTCTAGTATCAGGAATAATATCACGTTTCGTGGGATTCTGCCTTAACATTTCTTTGATACTTTCTTGATATATTCGTGATGTTTCTTCATAAGTCATTTTCTGGACTTCTTTGCACGTTTGAGAAAGATTCATTTCTTCATCGGTCATTTTCTGGACTTCTTCAAACATTTCACATGGGTTCATCGATCTAAACATTGCAACAGCTTCCTTTCTGGTAGAATCCGTGAATATTCTGAAAGCTCGAATCATTTTTAGAGTTTCCTCCAGCTGGGTTAGCTCGTTAACAAAGCGCATTTCTTGCTGGCATCTTTCGAAAATAACGTTAAACACGTCAAAAACCATTTTCAGGCTCCAAATTTCATTGTTTACAAAAGTGAATAAGATTTCACAAACAGAGGAACCAATAATAGACTGGTGGACGTTCAGCAGGGCACGAAAAGTGTTTTTTTGCCAAGATTTAAGTACGCACGACTTAAATGCTTTACTAACATCTAGCAATTGAAGCAAAACATGAGAAAGTGGGATAGAACAACTCTCGGTTCCAACTTCAGTACCTAATGAATTTCTCTTCTGAGTAGAATCACATTCAATACATATTTGAAACAAGGTTTGTAGAAAATGGACACAATCTGGAAAACTCTTTACTGAGTTAAACAATTCA